GGTCACTGCAACCTCTGCCTCCTGAGTTGAAGCAGTTCTCAGTCTCCCGAGTAGCTGGGACTACAGGGGCATGCTACCATGCCTGGCTAATTTTTGTATTTTTGGTAAAGACAGGATTTAACCATGTTGGCTAGGCTGCTCTATAAGACCAATTTCTAAAGATGCTTTATAAATAGAAAATATCTTATCAAACTTACGATTGCTAACTCAGCTCTTAGCTTTTTGGCTTTAAACAGAATACGAACAAATCTGAAAATCACTTTGTGTCTAGGATCATACATAAAGTGTTCCTCTGGAAGCTGGTCTTGCTGAAAGAAGAGGGGATGCAATGTAAGTATCCATTGAAGAGAAAACATGAAGTGCTCTTAAGACAGCAGTGTTCACATTTGTGCCCATAAATCATTTACAATAATTTTGGTTGGTGAAATGTCTTTCAGTTTTCACAATACGAACAGTGGGATCTTAAAATACCGTAATGATTTAATACTCATCAACATTCACTTAAAAATCATATAAGTTCAGAAAATGTTTGTTCTTTTTTACTCTTTGCCCCAAATAATTCTATCCAAAATATAAGCTACTCATAGGTTTTAATGTCTTACTGATTGTATGTCATTCTTTTCTGCAATAAATTTTGAGAAAATAGTTTCCTGTAACCATGAGGCTCTAAGTTTATGTTTTTAAATACAATAGTCACTAGACACATGTAGCTATTATGTACCTGAGGAAGTACATTTTTAAATTTTTATACCATGTAAGTTTATTTAAACTTAAATTATTTTTAACTCTCTTGATAAAAATGATGCTTCTGTGTTAAAAGGATTTACATATTCTAATGTTGCTTGATGCTACTGACAACTGTCTTTTAAAGGATACATTTTCTGTTATTTGGATAGTATATTTACTCATACTAGCTCACTAACTAAACAGAGCTGCAGATCAGTTCTTATTCCAGCACACTCTTTTTACAACACTTAAGATGACTACTGCAACACGAAATGGGTAAGATTTAAAGATGGCTTTGACTCCAGCATGATATAAATACAAGTCTATGAAAAAAATACAACCCCAACCAAAAGTGTCACTTTCTGTAAATGGGTATAACCGTTCTTCAAATACGTCCAAAGTTTTATCTGCCCCTCTATAAAATAAGAATGTGCATTACTTCAAAAACTGTTAATATCTTAGTATAATATCTGTTTAGTATAATAATGCCTCATATGTACTTTGGTGTTTACTTCAACACAGCAGTTTTTACAGAGTCTTCTCCTGGATTCTGACCTGCAGAGGGTTTCCCGACCTCTTCTTCCTCAGTACATGTGTCCTGTACTGTGAAATCTTCTTCACAATAACCAGTAAGATCTGCCTATGGGTACTGACCCTCCCTGACAGGCAATAGCAATAAACCAAACATATTTTCACTCTTCTTAACCACACATTGAAACACAAGAATGTTTTACAAAGCAGTAGTGGTGGGCAATAAAGTCTTTAGAACTTTAATAAATGTAAATGTGATTCAGATTTCCTAGCTTCCTTTCTTTTTACTCCTCTGTAGTATACTTTCATGATATATTTACTTTCTGTTGTTTGAATGAAAAACTCATCTGCCTTTTTATTTTAAAAGAGGCCAGTCTTTGAAAAACTTTCGATTTTGAAAAACTAATGCACTGTGCCTGTGTGATAAACCAGTGGTTCTCCAAATGTGCTCTGTGGATATCTGGGGATCCCCAAGACCCTTTTCCAGAAGGCCTAAGAGGTCAACACTGTTTTTTGTTTGATTGTTTTCTGAGATAGTTTCACTCTTGTTGCCCAGGCTGGAGTGCAATGGTGCAATCTTGGCTCCCTGCAACCTCCACCTCCCAGGTTCAGACGATTCTTCTGACTCAGTCTCGCAAGTAGCTGGGATTACAGGCATTACCGTTGCCTACCACCACACCCAACTAATTTTTGTGTTTTTAGTAGAAACGGGGTTTCACCATGCTGGCAAGGCTGGTCTTGAACTCCTGACCTCAGGTGATCCACCTGCCTGGCTTCCCAAAGTGCTGGGATTACAGGTCTGAGCCACTGCACCCACTGGACACTATTCTGATAATCATACTAATTGAACCTGAGAAAGCTGATTAAAAAAATTTTAAGAAATGAAGAAAGTAATACAAAGACATTGACTGTTTTTTCATAGACACTTGCCATAAGTGTATAAAAGCAAAAGTAAATAAAATTGCTGGTTTCTCAGCCTAAATCAAGACAGTGGTAAAAATTACACTAGTAGTAATTATATTATTTATTGTCCTTTACAATTAAAAAAGATAGCCTGAAGTACTTAAGAATGTTTTTGTTGAGGCAGTAAAAACTAATGGTGTTACTAAATCTTGACATGTGTCTTTAATATTCTGAATCAGTAGAAAGTTAATAAGAAAGAAGCGCTTTTGCTGACTGTAGTATTGTTGTGTTTTTAAAAAATTCATGATTTAATTGTGAGCTGAACAATCACCTTTTCACAGAACATCATTTTTATTTAAAAGTACAGTTGGGCCAGTGCAATGGCTGACACCTGTAAAATCCCAGCACTTTGGGAGGCCAAAGCAGGCGGATCACTTGAGCTCCTTCAGAAGTTTGAGACTACCCTGGACAACAACATGAAACTCTGTCTCTACCAAAAATAAATATAAATTAGCCGGGCATGGTGCCACACATGTGGTCCCAGCTACACAGGAGCCTGAGGTGAGAGGATTGCTTGAGCTGAGATCATGCCAATGTACCACAGCCAAGTGACAGAGACCTGGTCTAAAAAAAAAGTTCAACTATCATTCTCAAAAATAAAGGGAGTGAGGTTGTCACTTCAAGGAAAATAAGCATTTGTTCCCAATGATAAAAGTTAAGCTTTCCTGAGGACTTTGAAAAACTCATTCCTTCTACTGTAGGCCTGACAGCTTTTCAATACTTAAAGATGCTTTAAAATAAGACTGGAGGTTAAACTAAAAGTGATTTTTGATACAATAAAACATAAACCAATATATTCCAAATAACTAATGTATAATATTATAAATGCAAGTATGTGGGAAGAGATCCATTTACCATGCAAGGTAGATTAGTGAGTACTGATGGCATAAATTTATTAATATGTAAAATGCCACTGTAACTAAATTAAGAAAGTAGCACTTGTGAAGTTTTCACTTAGTATTAAAGAATACCTACGACTGTCTCAAAGCTTTAAAAATGCACCTTTTACCAACTACATATTTGCATGAGATTAGGCCATGTTATTGCTGCTGCTGTTTCTTTTTTTGCTGTCTTCTCTTAAGTGCAACATTAGTGATTTTTAATAATATAAATACACGACACAATTTTTACTCAGTATTTTGTTGTAGAAAAGGTATTTTTTCATTAAAAAATTATATTAACAATATTGTTCTTAAGAAATATTTTCTGTTGTCACAACCTGGGTCATGGGTTACCACTGACATCTAGTTGGTAGAGGTCATCAGCGCTGCTAAACTTTCTGCAATGCACAGGACGGTCCTCATAACAAAGTGTTATCTAGCTCATGATATCAACAGCGGTAGGGATGTGAAATCTAAACTAAAAATAGATTTTGAAAAAACCATCTCAATTTTATACTTCTACAATAATACATATCAATATAATCAATATAGAAACATATTCTGAGATTCTCAATCATTTAAGAATTAAAAGAGTCTTAAGGACCAAAGAAAACACAAATAATTTGCTTGGATATTTTAGCAGGCCCAATACAGCTCATGATATCTAGAGCTGTGACTTAAAGAGTTTGATAGCTTGAAAAGTAATTAGCCAGAATCACAAGACAGGTTTTTAAAAAGCTCACCTTTGCTGGATGTGATAATATATATCCAAGACCACACTGTGGAAGGAAAAACCTTCATAACAATAGAGGTTATCATTTGTTAGGCCTAAAGACATTTTATAAAAAGGGTGCAGAGGAAACTCTCCTAAGCAGTCCTGAAATTAAAATCTTCTGGTTCAGAACAGTACCATAAGGGCACTTTCTTGTTTTCATTTCTTGCCTTTTAGCAAAAATATGAGAACCAAAATGCAAGGAAATACTGTTAGAAGACGTATTTCTGTTGATGATTATATATATAAATAATAAAATATTTAACTGTTATATTTTCTTCTATTCACAAAACCTTACATCAAATGCAATTTATTTTATGTGTTTATTTATTCTTTGACTTAGAGTCTCGCTCTGTTGCCCAGAGTGATCTTGGCTCACCACAACCTCCACCTACCAGGTTCAAGCAATTCTCATGCCTCAGTCTCCCAAGTAGTTGAGACTATAGGTTTGTGCCACTACACCTGGCTAATCTTTGTATTTGTAGTAGGGACGGGGTTTTGCCATAATGGTCACGTTGGTCTTAAATTCCTGGCCTCAAGTAATCTGCCTGCCTCAGCCTCCCAAAGTGCTGGGATACAGGCTTGAGCCATCACACCCAGCCTCATACATTCTACGTCTATGTGTACATAGGTTTACATTTCAGCCACACAGTAATGGTTTCTTTTTTAAGATGTTAGGTCCTGCATTTTAGTTCAGTTCACTATCTCCTACCCACCCATTTTATAAATTATTTCCCAAAAAATGCATAACAAAAGTGCTTTATAACAAATAATTTCAAATTGCTTTTGCATAATTATTAGAAAATATGTTAGTAAACAAAAGCTCACATGACATCAATGATAGGTAGAGCAATCCTAAAATAAGCAGTGCTACCAGGCAGTGTAACATAACACAGTGTAATATGAATGGCAGGTATCTTCAATTAGTTTAACTGAAATATTTATGAACAGATACAACTCTTCAGATATACGTAACTGTACTCCTAAGTTACCAACTGATGCTGT